GCTCGCCAGCTGGACTCTGCTCTAGGAAGGAGGCTCTGGCAAACCACTTCCGAAAAACAATGGCCTTGAAAACTGCAAGGACTCTTCCAAGCAGTCACTGCAGAGTCGGTAACGACTGAGCGCAGACCAAAAAAAAAAAAATTCTCTCTTCAAAATTTAGAAAGATTTGGACTTGAAGGCAGACACACCAAGTGAAGGTCTCATTGAGTGGCTGCAGCCTTCACATAACAGTGTACTATAAGATATTGCAGTGTATTGATATCCAAAGCAAACTTGTCCATGGATCCAAACTTACCATGGAAGAAAGAATGCAACATATAAAGAGTCTCTTGGAAGAAGTTGAATGTTTCCTTTCCAAATCTTTGCAAAGAGGTTAAAGGACTCACCACTGAATTTAGCAAAACATCCAGAAGAATCCAAAGAAAGGAGAATTTTCATGAGGACAAGCCATCATGATAGAACATTTTATTCCCTTGAGGATATATTCAGGGGAGGAATTTTCATCACAGCCATAGATATGCTATGGGTTTAGCTAGGACCATGGAGATATTCTCACATTTGTTTTCACCTATCCCTGATAACAAAGGAAGTAGTTGCAAAGTTTATGAAGTCTTTACCCACCCCGTATTTATGGGATCTAAACCAGGGGGAATTGTAAGGAGAACTTGGTTTGTTTTATAAAATCAGAAAAGATACATATCTATGCATCTCTTGTGGACCTTTGGACAACGCACCTGAGCTGCTTAACCATATCTCTCTAGTCAAGAGCCTAGAATTTGCGTTTCCTCAGATATGCATTACTTAACAAGGTCCAACACCTTGCCAATCTCTGCTGCATCTGGGGAATGCAAATTTAGTACACTTAAGATTATTTAAACTGGCTTGCAGCCAGCAATTGAGAATTGGTTGAACCATTTCATTCTTCTTTCAGTGTGGAATAAATCTGCAGCATAAATAAATAAAGATAATGCTTTTGATGACTTTGCAGTCAAGCAAACAAGCAAGGTTTTGCATAGAGATTCAGCAAAATTGTAATTGATAACTGAAAAGTGTAGGAGTGGTTTAAAGTACTGTGGTTTAAAGTGCTTTAAAGTAAGGTAGATGTATTAGGAGAAGGATTGATCTAGAGCAAATATTTTAACTGGATAGTGGATTCCCCCACCCACCCACAGGTGCAAGGTCCACTTTTTTCCTGGATCAACCAAATGTTGATCTGTTGGTTGCAACAGGAATTGATCAACCAGCTTGTTGCCTGAGCCTGACATCATGGGCTGAGAGAGAATGACTGACCCAAAGTCACCTAGCCAGCTTTCATGCCTAAGGCAGGACTTTAACTCACAGTCTCCTGGTTTCTGGCCTGGTACCTTCCTTAACCACTAGATCAAACTGGCTCTCTAAGTGCAAGATCATAATGAACTTTTGGCTGTTTGACGTTATGTTCAGGCAATCATTTCTACATGTAGACATCAAGTTAATTGAAGAAAAAAAAAATTGGCTTACTGCAGTTCTTCCCATTGCCATCCTTGCAGTTCAGCTCCTTGGGGGGGAAAAAAAGGCAAATGTCAGTGGTCCTGTTACAGAGGACTTGCAGGGAACAATGTATAGTATGAATGTCCTGGCAGCTGGTGCTGATGCCATCAGGGCTCTTCTGCAATCTGAAACAATGTGTGAATATAGGAGTTGCAAATAACAGGAAGGGGGGGCCTCAAAAAAACTCTTGGGGGAGAGGGGGACTTAATTTTAAGGCATTTCAAAAGTATGCAGTCAGTTTGTATCAGGTATTGAATCAACTAAATTGTTGGGTTTACTGCCGCCCTGCATTAATTGAGAATGTGACTGGGCAAAGTCTGGTCACACTATTCTAGCTGTTCATAGCAGAGAATAGGATAATGAAACATAGGCTGTTTCCCAGGGAACCATGAGCACTATTACTGTTAGCCTTCCCAAGTGGACCAGACAGAAAACATGACCAGATGAGCTAATTCTACTTTATTTTAAGGCTACATTAACAGAATCTTGCAAGTCTGAAAGTACAAATCTCCCGCTGTCTCTTTTACATCCTGAGAAACTAGGGAGGGTCCCTTCCGAGCCTCTTTCTCCACCCATTATACAGCTGTCTCTTGTCTGACCATTCCCTAGGCAGCATCTCTTCTCATCATCTCTCAAGGTCTTTCTCACATACCATTACAGTTAGATATAAAACATAATCTGAAAACATTGCTATAACTCCTTCCTATTTATGGCAATGAATATGTATTTATACATCTTGCTAATTTTATTTTATTTTTCTTGTATATTCTAGGATGGCAGCCTGTAAGATGAGCCATATGTCCATGGAGAAAGTATGGGAATGTTTGCTAAAATATAAGGTTTCTCTCTGTCTCCTGTGGCTTCATTTGATTTTGGCTCCTGGCAGAGGTAAGGTTTTCGTTTCTGTATTCTTCTAACCATTGTTCTTTAAACATATGGTTCGAGGATGTGGATTTTCTGGACCTACAATATTTCTCCCAGGTTTCAGACTCTGCTCTGACACTACAATTGTCTTGTCATCCTGGCATTAATGTAAATAAAAACAGTGCTAATAACTTTATAGTTTGCCAGTTCCCTGTTTAATTCCCCTTTTCCATTTCATCATTTATTTTTTAAAAATCAAAAGTATATCAATTAAGTTAGGCAACATAGCAGATGGAAAGGGAATTGCAGAGATAGGAACTATACAGAAGATGATATGTATAACAAGTATATATTAATAATGCAATCTGTGTATATTTTAAAATACATTTGACATCTAAAAGTCTAATACTTATTTATGCATATTTTCATCAATTCTGTGAAGTAGGTTAGTCAGGTATTGGGTTTTGTTCAAGATCACCAAGAAAGCTTCATGGTTCAGGTTATGAGGGAAACACAGCTAAATTTATCTTAGATTTTAAAATTCTAAAATGAATTAAAGTATGTGTTTTAAGACATGGAATTATATGATTTCCAATTCCTGGTGTTCAGCATTTGTAGAATGGAGAGATTTTCTGAAATTATTCTTAAAGAAATGTCAGTCTTGTTTGTAGGCAGGCCCATAACTGACCTGCTATTCATTAGATGCTGAGTCTCTTGGTTCTTCCCACGTTCTTTGTATACAGGTAGCCCCCAGTTTAAGAATGAGTTCCGTCCCCAAGGTCTGTCCTTAAGTTGAATTTGTATGTAAGCCGGAACAGTATTATTGTATAATACTGTATAAATAGTATTGTGTAATTAATTTGAACCATTGTGTATTTAACTCAAATTTTGCTACAATAGGCTTCATTCTTAATCAAATAAATCCAGCCCCTTTATACCATTTTTTGTTAATCTTTCTGGTGACAAATACCATATATAAACATTTTATAAAAATTCTCCTTCAAATTGTAACAGTGTAAATTTCATCCACATATTTTTCCATTGTTCCATTTGTATATTATATCCAAAAATTTTAGTTCGTTTTATCATACAATGTTTAACTTGTTCACCTTCTGTTTCAAATCTCAACAAAACTTATACATTTTACCAATAAGATGTTTATCAGTAGTACACAATTCAGTTTCAAAACCAGTTTTGTTCTGTTCAAAACCATGTCTTTTTATCAACTTTAAATCTTTCTCTAAGTTGTACATATGAAAACCAGTGAAATGGATGTCCTTCTAATGTTAAATCCTCTCTTGATTTTATTTTAAATTCTCCTTGGTAAATATTGAGGATATCGCCGTAAGTTAACCATTTCTGCTTAATTATAATTTCTTTCCTATAAAATGCTTCTTGTAGAGATAACCATAAGGGTATTTTTGGACACAGTATAGGTTTATATCTATTCCAGATTCTTAAAATGGCACGTCTAATAAAATGATTCTTAAAATCTACATTAACCTTAACTGTATCATACCATGAATAGCTGTGCCACCCAAATTTCAATTTGTGTCCTTCCAAATTCGATAGTCTGGTATTTCTCAACAACACCCATTCCTTCAACCAAACTAGAAAACAGGCAGCGAAATACAGTTTGAGATCAGGCAAGGCTAAACCTCCTCTTTCTTTAGCATCTTACAGCACCTTATATTTAACTCGTGGTTTTTACCTTGCCTGATAAATTTAGTTATATCCTTCTCCCACTGCTTAAATGGTAAATCAGTAGTCACAATCA